CGCCCCCACGTTGCCAAGGTGATTGTCTTTAGTGTCTCCCACAAGAAGTGAAAGCCTGGCTGGCACTGCACTTGTGCTGGCTGTCCCTGGCTGTGGTGCTTCAGCTGGAAGGTGGGAAACGTAATTTTTAACAACCAGCCAAACACAAGGTAGGAAAAATTTTTACTTAAACGGGTATAGAATGTTAGTATATAGAAGTAAATTTCCACGCCACAATTCCAGTAGTCAAGATGAGGTTGACAAGTTAGTAGGCCCCTGTCCTTTACAGTGTGTCCGCTGGGGGTAATATCTAGTGGTTTGCCCCCACCATATATGGTTTGTAATAATACTGCATTTGGAGAATTTGGGTTTTCCCAGTTTCTTGTGGACGTCTTCTGCAATGATGTTTTATACTAGCTCCTGTGTCAATCAAGAAGGTTACATCTGTTTTATCAATCAGCACCCTTGCATGAGGAAGCTTTGATTTGCCTGGAATGTCTGCCACTTGGAAGGTGTAACCCTCGTATGTTTCCTCGCTTATATGCTGAGAAAGACACTTGATAAAGCTGATACATGTACTTTGCATATGCCATTAGTATGCTGTTATTACATGTCTGAAGTTCCAGGTCTTTGAGAATTCCCTGAACTCCTCTGATGCAAACTGGGGTCCGTTGTCGGTAACAACTTCCATGGGAATTCCATGTTTCCTAAATGTTTGCTTGCATTTGTGTATCACATTCCACATTAGTTCTCGATACTGTCCGTGCCCAGCCTCTTCAACTCCTTGGTGTAGCTGTTCTTAATGGAGCAGAGGGTGCTCTCATTTAGCTCGCGACCCACTTCAGCTGACAGCCGCCTTGCCGCCTTTGATGTGCCGACCTCCACGCACATTCTGGCGATCCTGACTCTCATCTGAGGTGGCCATACGTGTCGCGCTTTCTCTTGCGGCTTGCTGACTCGGCGATCACCCTCTCCACCTCCCTGTTAGACGCTGACGTTGCCTCTGGGTTTTTGGTGTCCATGGGGTTTGGCAGTCCGGCGTGGTGAAAGGCTTCATTGACGGATTTGCTTGCTTCAACCAGGCCAACATGTTGCACACAGTCTCTCGTCTCACACGTCTCAGTATGTATGCATCAGCAAATGCTCTACATCTTAGATCCACGTAGTATGTTAGCACAGTCTCCAGCAGTGTTATGCTAGCACTCTCAACCTGTTAAGCACTATCAGCCTCAGTACTTCTTCACCAGGAAGGCACCCAGTCCCCTGAAGTTGGGGCCAGGTACCTCCTTCAGTTTCATCAGCCCGTCTATCGTAGCGTCCACATTTGTATCAATGTGGCTGAAGTCCACCTCGGTTCTCTGTAGAAATAAAAACTAAATCAACATTGATATCAATATGCTTCTAGGGTATTGCCATAAAAAAAATACAATATTATAGCGCATATCATTCTGTAAGAAGTAGATCTGTCTAATATTACAAACTGTATGATGTTTGAAAGTACATGTCATTCAGTCCCATGTTAGAAAGAACATGTATAAATATTACTGCTGCGCATGTCACAGCTCAGGAACCCAATAGTCGATACGGCTTCTACAGTTACACCAGGTTGCTTCAAAAGCTGATTTGTCCAAGCGGTAATGCCTACTCACATAATTTTGGATCTTCTCTACTTTGCTTTCGTTTAGCTGCAGTTTCCCTTGTTTCCCCCTTACATTTCTGCTGACTAATGTAGGTCAAAAAATCATTCTTCTAGCACATAAGACAGCAAAATTTCCACCTACTCCCGAATCTAGCAATGTGTAGAGGAGTCCTTCTCTTCCAACGGAGGCGAAGGCTTTCTTATTAAAGTCAACGAAACAGGAATAAATACGTCTATTTTTCTGAAAGATATTTGCTTAGAAGTGTGTCTATTACGAAGAGATTGTCGCTCGTTCTGAATTTGGTCCTAAAGCCAGCTTGGTTGGGCGATATAAGTTTATTTTCATCTAGGAAAGTGGTGAGGCATTTCCATAAGCCTTGCCATTCTTGAGGTTTGAGATTTCATTCCTCTGTATCGGAACGTCTAAGTTGTTATCGACTATTAGTGCGTCTTCCAACTCAGATAATTTATTTTTGATCTGAATTTCGAAACTGCTGGGGGGTTCTGTGGCATTGAGTTGAAGATTCTCTCCATACAGTTCTTTAAAGTGGTGGTGGAGATATTCGTCCGAATGTAAATACCCATTCAGTCTCTCTGCCTCATTCTGCCCTGAATCGTCTCTTGCCCGGTGAATACGACAGAGCAGGTTTGTGGAGTGAACTACCCTCTCTGCTGCTCGAAATCGTACCTGAAGATTTAAGAAAATTCCCTTCGTTTCATCCATTTGTGCCACCTGTGTATATGTAATTTGATGTTTCTTGGAGTCTTGAAGAAACAGATAGAAAGCAACTGAAAACTACTGGTTTTCTTCTGAAAGCTTTTACTGTGTCTGTGACCAAAATACTGTACTTCAATTCAAAGAGCGGTAACAGTTCATTCATAATGCAGGATGTTCCCGGCTTATGCAATAGTACAATACATGACAATGATTAATTCCTTAACAAAATGTCAACACCATGATATGCATCAAATTAGACATATTATAAAGATACTTACTTCAAAGTTGGACACCCCCACACCTGCATCCGTCAACCCAAGTAGCTGGGGGCACGGCTCTGGCAAACGGGAACGGGACAGGAATTGCAAGAAGTTGGTACAAGATCCGATGAAGGAACAGTAACCTTACCAGAGCGTGCGTGTTTCCTGTGGAAGCGGACAGTGCAACGGTCACTTCTTCACGATGGTATGGGCCCTGTCCAGGACTTATCTTCCAGCTGCAATCTCGTTGCCTGGCAAACTTCTCTTCACCCCACTCTTGAATGGCGCGTTGACATTGTTTCTTCCAGGACTGTATGCGTAGAAGTTCATACTGCTGGAATGGGCCGTCACGGTTTTGTGTGACTTTCAGAACGTCTTCCTTCATGGTGCAGTCCATAAAGTACACTGTGCTGTCCTTCACCCCGCTACACAGCTTTCGGATAGGCTTACTTTACTGCGTATTGTCTACCAGCACCACCTCGAAGTCATCGGGGCACTCCCTTCTCAGGCGCATCAGGTTTGAGCTCCAAGTTGTCCCGTTTGTGCCGTTTTCCAGGGGGAATGGGAACATAGAAGTGGTTTGCAGTTCAAGCTTGTGAAATTATGATCATGTGAAATTACAACATACATGTACTTTACATTTGACACCCATAAAAAAGATATGGACAAGTCAAACACTCAAAAGTGCAAAATACAAAAAGTACAAACGTTATTTACAATTACAATTGCAATTGAATAAAAATATAAATGCAACCAAAAAATACAAATGTTCAATGCAAAAATACGAAAGTTATTTATAATTCAACGGTATCCAACCGGTTCAGTTCAAACTCTTGAAGTGCAAAATATAATATTGCATCACAATAAAAAAAATACTTGGAAAATACCAAAAAAATGGGGAAAAGTACAAAAGTTATTTGCAATACACAGGTCATACATTTCACGGGTCATTCTCTCTCACATAGTTGATAACCGGTATCCAAACGGTTCAGTTTAAAATGTTGAAAATGCAAAATACATTGCATCACAATAAAAAGATACTTGGAAAATACAAAAAATGTTAAATAGGGAACGGTACAAAAGTTATTTGCAATACACAGGTCATACATTTCACGGGCCATTCTCTCTCCCATAGTTGACAACCGGGCCGTAGATACTGGCGCATGTGACGCCTCTAACAGCCGTCCCTGGAGGTTCTTGTAGGCCGTCCGCTGATACCGACGGAGCTGGCCCTCGCATACAACAGAACTCCAGATCTACCTCCTCCCTGACCAGTCGCCGTAGAACTCCCTTGTGATCTCTGAAAATAGAAAAAAAAATTAGATGCTAAAAAAACAAGAGAAGCCATTATCATTATGTATCTGAATTGCCATTGGAGGTTCGTCTTTCAGCTTTGCCCCTTGCGCTTGCAAGTCCTTCGACAGGGTTTTCACAGTGTCTATGATGGGAAGTAGGTATACTTCTTGTTTGGCTTCTTTGTTTCACCGTTATATCGCGGTGCCTCGCACACATGACAATTTCTTGCGTTTGCGTTTTCCCCGGCAAAAAGGACAGTCATTCGGGCACGCATCGTAGACAATTGATTGGGCAACAGGTCCTTCACTAGCGAAATCGCCTCTGTATGATGTTTGAAAGTACATGTCATTCAGTCCCATGTTTGAAAGTATATGCATAAATATTACTGCTGCGCATGTCACAGCTCAGTTTCCTCCTCAGGAACACCCAATAGTCGATACGGCTTCTACAGTTACGCCAGGTTGCTTCAAAAGTTGGTTTGTCCAAGCGGTAATGCCTATTCACATAATTTGGATCTTCTCTACTTTGCTTTCGTTTAGCTGCAGTTTCCCTTGTTTCCACCTTACATTTCTGCTGACTAGTGTAGGTCCAAAAAACATTCTTCTAGCACATAGGATAGCAAAATGGGCTTTTTATGCATTAGGCTTTGATTTTATTGCTTTTGTGCATTGATGCTTTGATTGTGCTCGCATCCCCTTTCCAGACTGTAGCCATTCTCATGTCGGCCCTGTCTTCTTTTTTTACCCCAGTGCTTTGGCCTCCGCTGCTCTGGGCTGTGGCTGTTCCTTCGCTACTCCGCTACGTTGCATGTAATAACAAGCTATGTCACATGCTACGTAGTTACAACTCTAGAAATGATGTATAAACTACAAGATAGTTGGCTGAAATCTGCTAAATTTCGAGACAGAAGTACAGTCGGAAGTTTAGCGTTACATGTGGTACAAAATGTAAGGCTTTTTTTGCGTGCTACAGTCGGAAATTCTCACGGAAATGGAACCCAAGCCAAGTTACAGTACTACTAGTTAACAATAGGAACGAAATGGCGTCAGGAATTTGTGGAAATTTACGAGTGAAATACAGTTCAATGTTACGTGTGATGGCTGATAGTCTATCGAACCTTCTGGATGGCGTCCCGGATCCCTCTGCGCTCCCAGCCTCGGCCGATGACGTCTGTCTTGGCGGCAAGCCTGCCCATGGCTCCCAACAGCCAGTTAGCGTGCAGCGGTTTGATGGCGGACAGGCGCAGGTAAACCTTGATGTTCTCGATGTCTGTGCCGTTCTCCAGTGCCTTTGCCACTTTCTCAGCGTAAAAGTTGGTGAAAGACTGGGTCAGGTCCTTCTTCAGCGCGTTATTGATGCACCCGTCCGAGTCGAGGGGTTGCAACTCGCCGGTACAGCTGGCCGGGACGAACACGGGGCGAATGTTGGCCTCTCTCAGCTTTGCTAGCAGTCCGGGAGTGCGATGTGCTTTATAGACGTCAAAGATGGCCAGGCCGGGGTGGTCCTCGTCCAGGCCAAGTCGTTCTCGCTGGGCGGCCATGTACGGGGCGACAACACTGTCCACGTATCGCTCCATTCTGTCCGCTGTACTCTAATAGTATGTTAGCACAGTCTCCAGCAGCGTTATTCTAGCTCTCTCATTTGTGACGGAGCCTGAGGCTAGGTTACACCAGTACTTGTTTACTTTGACATCGGTCTCAATGTTTCTTATGAAGTTATCTTTCATACTAGTCAACTCGCCATGACAGAGTTGTTGTAAATTTGCTGTACCCCTGACAACTTTCTCAGTACGGAAAAACAAGTACACCTCATCTGTTACAGCGAATAGCCCTCCACGGTTTTCAGTGTTGATCCATCCTTGTGTATATTGCAGAAAAGTTGTGTGTGTGAAGTTGGTAGATGAAACTCTCCATTATTGTAAAATAGACACTGAATTGTGCTAGCTTATTGTTAAGTTTCTGGTAGGGCCTTAATGCATGTGGCATATAGCCAGAAACGTACCTTAGCAACTGCGCTTCAGCATTTGTCATGTCAATACTGGTGTCTGTATCATTAGCAATGGGCACATCAGCACTGTGCTTCTATTTCAAGAGGCCTTCTAAAACTTTCTTTGTGACAAACTGGTGCAGTAAAGAGGATGGTTAAAAAAATTCTCTTCGTTTCATCCCTATGGCCCACCTGTGTATATGGGTCTCTCTCTAGACCGTGTATATGTAATTGTTATGCATTGTTAGATATTTTTTCAATGAGTTTAGTTTTGATAATCAGCTACTTATATTCTTCATGAACTGGTCAATGTCAGCAGCTGTGTACTGTATGTTCGCCACGGTCGCATTCTTCTCCAGGAAGGCATCCAGTCCCCTGAAGTTGGGGCCAGGTGTCTCCTTCAGTTTCTTCAGCCCGTCTATCGTAGCGTCCACATTTATATCAATGTAGCTGAAGTCCACCTCAGTTCTCTGAGCTGTAGAAATAAAAACTAAAGTAATATATTAACATATATGTCAGGAAATGAGCCGGGGTTGATCTCAAAGAACTCCGTTTAATACCAGACTGCTGCCCTAGTACAGGCCAACCGGACCTCTCTCTCCAGCCTGGGCCCTGACTGACTCACGCCAGCACCCACGCTCTGCCTTATGGGCCCCCTCAAAACTATTCTACGTATCCCATCACATCTGCCCCTTTTTCTCTTCATTGAAAATACTACTTTCAATCACAAAACTCTAACTCTATGGTCTCCATACTTGTAACCCAGATCCGGCGGTACACATGCATTATATTGTACAAAACTATAATAAAAAGAAACTGGATCCTACATAGATAGATATATATATGTCAGTTCACTAAAGTCCAGGTAGTGGTCGTCTGTAGGAACAGGTTGACTACCAGGCGTTCCATCTACTTAAACTTTAGCAACGGCTAAACAACTTCTAAGAATGAATTAGCACTACATAAACAAACTAGTACAAACGACAACTTAACATGCAGAAACACTTTCTAACAACTGTAAAAGGCCTACGATCCTACGTGATCACATGACACTAGAGAGTCGTATTGAGCAAAGGGCATAGTGTCTTATTGTCTCAGGCCCTGGACAGAGCGTCGGCGTTGGCATTGGCCTTTCCCGCCCGATGCGTCACCACGAATCTGTAGGGCTGCCTCCATCCCCCGACCTTTTGTCGGGAGAGCCTCTCCTCGATCACGTGCTTTCTCGCTGCCGTGTCCATCGGATTGGCGCCACCAAAGATGCGCCACTGGGACTTCCCCGGTGCTGGCAGGTGAGGGCTCCCAACTGGTTTCGTACGTCCCGCCAGCTGTAGTTTTGGTCTACCACCGACATACATGTAGTTGTAAGACCGTGGCCGGGTGACGCCACGATCATAACCGTTACCATAACGACGCAATGCTTGTCCCCTGTTAGCAGAGGCCTCCCTCCAGTCGCTGGTGACCCAGCCCTTTTTCACCCCGTATGGCTCCAGCTTCCCAGCCGCGCACAGCTGCACCAGTTTTGCCAAGTGAGGAACGTCCCGTCCGACAATAGCAGGGCGCGGCAGGTTTGCATTGACCCTGTAGCTCCGGTTGCCTACACGGATCTCTACCTGCGCGGTGGGATACATTTTCTCCTCCCCGTGAACACAGGTGATTCCACCTTGATCTTCTGCGATTTTTCCCACATCCACCAGGTCTCCTCGGATTAACGACTGGGTGCTCCCAGTGTCCAGCAACAGAGGGACCTTCTTTCCCTCCACCTGACCTGCGACGATGAAGGTTGCCTGTTGCCCGGCCTTCCCTCCAGTACTAGTGAAGAAGGAGCTAGCCCCAGTGGGTCGCGCCTCCTTAGACACCGGGCAGTCCCTTGCAAAGTGGCTGGGGTCACCGCAGGTGTAACACGTAGCTATCCCATGCACTCGCCGTCCCGAATTGGGCGCGGTTGCGAACTGGTATTGCCTTCTTCTCCTCCTCCTGTAGATCTGTCTAATATTACAAACTGTATGATGTTTGAAAGTACATGTCATTCAGTCCCATGTTAGAAAGAACATGTATAAATATTACTGCTGCGCATGTCACAGCTCAGTTTCCTCAGGAACGAGCTATTTCCGGAGACCGTGGATTGTTCAACTCCACGGCCGTGGAATTGACCACTTTTAGTGGTGAAGTCCTCGGCCGAGAAGGGACTTAGTCATAATGCCCGCGGTAGCAGAATTTATGACTAAGTTCCCCCACGGCCGAGGACTTCACCACGAAAAGTGGTCAATTCCACGGCAACGGACTTATCGTCATTGAGAGAAGTCAAAAGAACGACAGACGAGAAGCAAGTTTATTTTGAAACAACCCATACAACTGTTCAGATCATGTTCTGCAAATTGTATAATTGTATAGCACTATATTAACAGTCGTATCCAGTTTTATCAACTATACAGTTAACATGGTCATACGATCAGTCCATTCAGTTACGATCAGTCCATTCAGTTCAATTCCTGTTTTATCGCGAAAGAGCTGCACAAAAGTCAAGTTCTTTTCAATTTACAATGCTTCGCTATTTACATCGGCGTGTACGGCACTTTCGGCACGCGAGTCCTCTTCTCCGCCGGAGTCGCCATAACATGCGCGGGTCGCCGCCTCCGCTTTCTCCGGCGGATGACTGGACTCTCCTCGTCGTCACTGTCGGTGTCGTTGGTGGGTTTGGGGTCCGTCGAGTCGTTGTCGACTTCGATGGTGACGTCGTCATCAGATGAGCTGGAGTCGTCATCACACGAGCCGGGGGAGTCGTCATCAGATGAGCTGGTCGAGTCGTCATCAGATGAGCTGGTCGAGTCGTCATCAGATGAGCTGGAGAAGTTGTCATCAGACGAGTCGGGGGCTTGTGTGGGGCACTGCTGGTTGGGATCGATGTTCGTGCGCCTAGGGTGTCCACCTTTGTAGTATGTGTTAGGGTCGAACCCCGTCTCGGCGATGGCACACTTCACTACTGTCTGCAGGATCCGCTGCCACTCACCTGGAAGTTAGGCACGTGTCTTACGACGGGCGAGATGACCTTCTGCATAAATTGGACAACAAGTCTCAGTCTGACCGTCCCTGTTTGAAAGTGTCACCTGCATAGGGAATATGTACAAAAAAAATTAAACCAGGAGTCTATTTTCAGCTAACTGGGATTGTTGATAAGATTATATGCAGTACTAGTCTTTGAAACAAAAAGCAATGTCTATGATTTGTGCCAAAGAAAGAAAGAAATAAAACACTTACCATGGCATCTTCACCTAGAAGTCTTTTTAACTTCGCCTTCCGTTCGGAAATCGCCCTTGGAACGGTCTCCCCCAAGTCCCTCAGGGCTTTTGTTGCCTGAGGTCCTTGGAGGGCGTCGATGCAGACCTGGCTGTTGTTGCCAACATCATTGATGATGTTGGCCATGTGGAGGGGCAGGCCTCTTATGGCTGTCTTCAACTCCTTGGCTGTAATGGTTAGATACAAGAGTCATTCTTTCAGTATGAGATAAAATTTTGTGAAACTTTACTAAGTTCATTCTTTACATCAAAATTTATATGTTAGAGAAGAATAGCTGTAATCCAAACTTACCAGTTAGTGTTTTCCACTTGTATGCACTCGGTCCCAGTGCCGTGCCCTCTTTCCTGATCCAGAAGCTGACCCCAATGTCAGACATGGCTTTCTCCAGGGCCGCAGTTCGACCCTGGTCAATGGTCCAGCCCATCAACTGGAAAGGAAAATCATTGAAACTTGTTGATTGATGCACTAATTTTGTACTAATTCTCATGTTTTATTTAATGTTGTTTCTTACCATGTGGATAATAATAAATTGTAGTGAACTATCACAACTTTTGATTCTACTTAAAGGTTTAATGTATGTCAATAAACTACTTGTATTTTAATTACACCTCAGAAGTATGTGTACTCTTTCTGTGGCAGTTTGGCCAGAGCAATTGGCCAATTTTCTGTGTTTGGTCACATTTCTTGTGAAATGCTGAATTTGATCATGCTTGGTTATCAAATGAAAATTGTAATATCATGACACATTACCTGGTTCAGGAGTTTTCCTCCAATCCTTAGAAACCTGAAAAATGATAGTTTGTTAACCATTAGTTTGCTTCTTTGCTGCATTATTTCAATTACAAATGATTTAGCTTGGAAAAGAAGTTTGCTTGTAACTCACAAGTGAAGCGTATCGATGATGACGTTGTCCCATGATATGTTGAAGACTGGGTGCTCTTTGTAACCACGGTTGTCTGTCTGTCCAACACACCGCTGTGCAGTCTCCTGTGACCTTAGTTCGAATCCTAAAAGCAACAAAAACTCTATGATGAACAATCCAAACAATCTTACAATGAGAAAATGCAGCAGAAGGATCACTACATGAAAACAGCCTCTATACAACTGACATTGTCCAAATAAAGAATATCCGTACCCTGTCTAAACTGGCCTATCTTGTCCTTTGTGCAGTGGCACAAGGCACAGAAATAGTTACCTGCGAGAGATGTCAGAAAAAGATAGGTGTTAGGTAGCACATCATGTTTGGTCGAATGCATCAATATGTTCAAGAAATAGAAATAATAGAGTACAATACTA